AGTCTTCATGTAAGGTGAGTACATCTCATGGTAAAAGATCTCAACCATCAAAAGTGCATGAATATAATAATAATAATAATAATAATAATAATAATAATAATGAAACATATTTCCGACGACGAAGAGTCAGAATGGCTGGCAAATATAGATCCAAGTTCATTAGGTGAATCGAACGAAGAAAAACAGCTTGACGACTAGAACATTTCTTCATTTAATGGAGGAAATAGAAACAGCAACACAACAACGTGCCAATTCCATTCCGCTCCGCATACTTCTGTCAAGCACTCCCCGTAAATGAATATCTGCGAAATTCGCCCGCACTGAAATAACAGTTTGGCGTGTTGGATAATAAATAACTTATTAAACGTTTTGCTGTATGGTATCGCTGAGTATTTTTACTCGTTATTTGTATTTTGACTCGCCCTACGGGCTCGTCAAAATGCAGCACAACTCGTAAAAATACTCAGCGATACTACACAACAAAACGTCTAATAAGATATATTTATTATTCGAGGTTAATTCACCTAAGCCGCTCTTTCCTATATTCCATGACCAGCAAATTCTGGGTGATTTAAAACGACGCAGTCTTTTTTATGCCGATTCTTAAAGTTTAATTATCCATATGTGAGACACGTCGTCTTGTGATTTATCTTGTGTTAATTATTAGTGTTAATTATTTCTAGGAATATTGGGAAGCTACTCTTACTTTCAGTTTCGAATACTTAAGAGCCGGTCGGACGCCGAGTCGGAACCTTTGAAGGTTCCTTTAATAGAAAATTTATAAGGGACCACAAGCACTGACACATGTTGGGTTTTTGTTTAAGGAAAACAAAAAGTCTATTAAGGAAAAACGCATTTCAAAGAGTTCGGCATCAAACCTTGCTTTACTACATTTTGAGTGCCACGGACTTTCCTTCATGTCTTCTTTTGATACTTAGTCCCAGAGACTCGGGCGGGTTAATAGAAAGGATTAAGATTGCCTAGTTCAAGACATATAAGTTACCTTCTGCCATTTCAAAAAATATATTAATTAGATATGAAAAGAACATTACTAGTACGCGAGTTGATATTAGGGGACAATTTCAAAGCAGTAGAGTTTATTGTTGTTACTTAAGTTAAGCTACTGAAAATCCAATACTCATCGCCCAGGGCAGATGAGCATGAGCATTAAAGTGTTGGCGGTCGGTACACTGCCATTCCATTGTTATTTGGTACGAGAAACTGTTAATCAAAAGCCCCAGAGAAACGCTGACGCAGCTCCACATAAAATTTCTTTAGTTCGAGAAGTTATTATCTCTTTTATTCGCCTATATTCTCAAAGGTATAGAGGGAGATTAAACACTGCACAGTTGTCAGTTGTTCTAAACGTCCTTCATTTCTTAGTCGAAACGCGAATACCGAATCTAAATGAACGACCAAAAATTTAATTTGCTTCTTTTGTGCATTTTAGCACAACAATAATTGGCAAACACGGGTTTGCTGAGTGACTTACTTGAAATTATCAAATGCCTAGTGTGTGTCTAAATTCTGCAGATGACGGCCATCTACATTCCTCCGTGCAGAATAGCTCTTTGTAAATTAAAAAGTAAGTAAATAAAAGGAAACAGGAAAAAGGATAACCCGTTGTGACCCCGTTTCAAAGCAGTTGGCCTGCCTACCTTGCATAACAATACAAACAACCTTTTTCAGTCACGAACCGAAAGAGCAAGTATTATAGCAACTGATCATTTTTAGGCCG